AAAAAAAAACTTAGCAAACTTATTCTTAGAAAACTTAACATCTGCTGTGCATAAAAATTGGTGTGCAATTTTAATTCTAATTCCATTCTAGAACCCACAATCTACTGCGGACACCTTGGTATGAAAACTGACTGTTCCACAGCAGAACACAAAAGAATTAAAAAATCGGGCAGATGAATGACTAGTTATACATAAGATGATTCTCAACAGTCCAAGAATTTACCTTTCGTGTGCAGACTCGCTCATTTTCAAGTAGCTCTATATATCGTGCTGTGAATCGCATCCGATTCCATTCGTGAGGATACAGGTAAAATCGAGGGAAGTCGAGCACGTTTTTAAAGTTATCCGTCACATAGACAATAATTTGCGGCTAGATAAATTGTCATGGTTCAGCTGTGAAGAAACTGTGAATCAACCTACCTGAGTGTAGTTATACTGAGGACTTGTGACGCTAGGCGGAGCTTTTATGTTTAACACAAGCCTACCAATATCATCTGCTTCTGTCTGAGTCGCAATTCTCAATGATACGGTAGCACGGCGGTGGACGAGCAGACAAACCTGGTTGACGTTTCTTCGCGTTTGATAGCAAACTCCCCTTCGCATGACCACTTGTCTTCTGAATATATCATTACAGCAGCTCATGACCTTCCCAGCCAGTTCACATTTATGAAAGAGCTCTTCGCATTTGTACCCATATTTCTCCTGAAACATAATACAGTAATGCCACAGCTACGCTAAATAGAGATGCAATTTTTACCTGCTTTATACTGAAAAACTCTGCAACAGTAAACCCCTCTGACCATTTCTCATACAATCCATTGAGATAGCTCATATAAGTGCGGTTAAAAGAAGATAGATCATCCATATTTTCCAGACCACTACCACCGACCCAAAATCTGCAAGATTTTGATTTGAGTTCATGGTTTATTCACATTCCTAATCTGATATTATCAGACGCTTCTTGACAATCTTCACCTCGCTGAAATGGACATGACTAAGAAGATACAAAAGGAAAAAGGGTAATAAGGAGCTAACAAAGTCAAAGATAACTTCTTGAGATTTCTGAATCAAAGAGCTTCGTTTCAACTCCCGGTTCCAGTTCATGTCGAGCCTTGAATATGTTTATCATATTTTTTTTTCAAATCTAATGGTGCTAATTAGTTTTTCTTTAGCTTTGTCCGCATATCTGGTGCG